CATCTTGGAAAATAATCATAATTACTTGAAAAACAACAGCCAGTTCTGTGGTACCTTACAGACTAACAAATTCATTAGGTCCTGAGGTTTTGAAGGTAAAACCCACTTCATCAGAGGAGTTGGAGTGGAAATTACAGACTCCAGGGTATATATAACAGCAAAAGAAGTTACCTGTCATTTTTAGGACCGTTATTAATGAAGCTAATTAATTTGGGCTGGATGTGTCTCATTCATAGCATGTGATGTGAAAATGTGAATATCAAAGGCAGGGAAATTGCCTTTGTAGTGTGTTAACCAGTTAAGGTCTTTATTCAAGCCTAAGTTGATAGTGTTGAACTTATAAATGAATTCTGGTTCAGCTATCTCCCTCTGTAATTGGGTGATAAAATTCTTTTGTAGAAGAATGGCTACTTTTAAATCCATTATTGAATGTCCAGGGAGGTTAAAATGTTCCCCTACAAATGGATTAACATTCACATGCACAGGTAACTTTTGCTGTTCTCTATATACCCCTGGATTCTGTAATTTCCATTCCAACTCATCTGTTGAAGTGGGATTTACCCACAAAAGCTCATGACCTAATTAGTCTCTAGGGTACCACAGGCCTACTCATTTTTAAAGTTGCAGACTTAACACAGCTACCCCTCTGAGACATAATTACTTGCGTAGCCAAGGAAAAGACGTTTAAGGAGACTAACAAGAATGGGAACAATATGCTCTCTTTCTAGAGACAGGCCAAGGCAGGAACGGGGCACGGGAGGGGAGTCAGACACCCAACAGCTAGAGATGGAAATATTAGATCCAGTCTATCCTTCCAACCCTTCTACTCGCTGAGAGTGGCTGAATGGGGCATGAGTGGGGGGAAGCAGGGAAGAGGTCTCTTTTCATGGCACTTTCCCCATCTCAACTGCCAGATTTCTTTGGTGAAAGCCAGATGAGTGGAGTTACCTCAGCTTGGAGCTGGGAGTCCAGCCAGTGGCACCACGTGGAGGGACAGCTGTCCACGCAGCACGGCTCTGAACTACTGCTGCAGCAGAACTATGTGAGGTAGGAGGTTTGGAGACACCCCCACCCTTCCCAGGCCCTTCCAGGGGAAGATTTACAGGGTGGCCCATAACATCCACCTGGCTGAGTTTCCTTACCTCGCTGGTCTGCTCCTGCTGGCTTCTCCATGGGAGTAGGGGACATCATGGCTCTGAGTAAGGGCTGCAGGATTTGGGCCCTTAGGGTGGAATTCAGAGACTGGAGCATGGCTGAAGTCCCAAGATCTTGGTTGCACCTCTACAGAGCAGTGAATAATTAGGGGGATTTTGGGGGAGGAGTAGGACAGGAACTTAAATCTGCTTTAGGTTACTTGGCTTGCGGCAGAACCCTTCCCGACCAGATGGCCAACAGGTGTCATCTGGTGTGACTGGTACAGCCCCAATGCAGTACGCTTATTTTCACCCTCTGCAGCTTGCTCTCGCTCTCTCTGCTGCAGAGAGCGTCTCTGCCCCAGCGCTTGATGACATATGCTGGGATTTTCCAATAAGGGATTTGACTTTTCACCCACTGACAATGAAACCAAAGTGGAGACATTTGCACAGACTCCTCTCACCCCCATACAAAAAGGGAAACTGCCATCACTGGCTGCTGGTGTATTACTTTTGATAGTAATACAAACTCCTAAGCTAGGGGGAGAGGTAGATACACTGGAGTGCAGGGACAGGGTCCAGAGTGACCTGGACAACTTGGAGGATTGGGCCACAAGAAATCTGATGAGGTTCAACAAGGACAAGTTCAGAATCCTGCACTTGGGACGGAAGAATCCCAAGCATAGTTACAGGCTGGGGACCAACTAGCTAAGTAACAGTTCAGCAGAAAAGGACATGGGGGTTACAGTGGATGAGAAGCTGAATGAGTCAACAGGGTGCCCTTGTAGCCAAGAAGGCAAATGGCATATCAGGGTGCATTAGGAAGAGCAATGCCAGCAGATCTATAGAGGTGATTATTCCCCTTTATTTGGCTCTGGTGAAGCCACATCTGGAGTATTGTGTCCAGTTCTGGGCCCCCCACTACAAAAAGGATGTGGATCCATTGGGGGAAAGTCCAGTGGAGGGCAACAAAAATGATTGGGAGGCTGAAACACATGACTTATGAGGTGAAGCTGAGGGATTTGGGTTTGTTTAGTCTGCAGAAGCGAAGAGTGAGGGGGGATTTGAGAGCAGCCTTCACCTTCCTGAAGGGAGGTTCCAAAGAGGATGGAGAGAGGCTGTTCTCAGTGGTGACAGATGGCAGAACAAGGAACAATGGTCTGAAGATGTAGTGGGGGAGGTCTAGGTTGGAGATTAGAAAAAACTATTTCACTAGGAGGGTGGTGAAGCACTGGAATGGATTCCCTAGGGAGGTGGTGGAATCTCTGTCCCTAGAGGTTTTTAAGTCTAAGCTTAACAAAACCCTGGCTGAGATGATTTAGTTGGGGTTGGTCCTGCTTTGGGTAGGGGGCTGGACTTGGTGACCTCCTGAGGTCTCTTCCAGCCCTCCGATTCTATGGTATAAAAAGGCCCAAAAAGTCAACGGTTTTAGCACGACCCTGTGACTGTCTGTTATTAAACAAGGTTCAGGGCTTGTAATTCAGAGACTTTGGGATCATCACTAAGACCCCACTAACCATCCTTTTACCCTTTTACTAAAGATACCCAAAGAAAACAAGCCAGTTAAAGCAGCTAAAACTTTTCTTTTTTATCAACGTTTTTTTGTTCCTTTTTGCTTTAGCTGGAGACCGTTTTAGAAGGACCCCCTCTTCTCTGCCAGTCTCGGAGGAGGCATTAGGCACGGTACTATCTGTCTTTTGGGGGGAAAGAGAAGGAGTTGGTGGAGGTAGGCTGGAGATGTCCTTGTTGCTGCTGCCATTACCATCCAAAGCCATTTCCTAGAAGATAAACCCAGACAAAGACACAAAATGGGGGAGGGAAGGAAGAGAACACCAAAAAGAAAACCCAGCTTCTGTCTCTGGGATGGATTCTTACTTGCAAGCTCGCCGCTGAAAAAACACAGGCCCAGCAGCACAGAGTCTGATCAGTTCCTCTGAGACCTGGCAAACTCCTGCCAGCAGTAGGCTGTCTAGGGCAGTGCATGTAACTGCCTCTCTGGTCACTGCTTACAACGGCATTACTAAATAGACAATTGTGACTGGCCAAGCCCGGCTGCAATTAGATAGGAGTTTAAAAAAGGGGGGCTAAAGAAGGAAAGCAATACAGTGAGAGGAAAAGAGCGCGTGGGAGGGTGTCTCACGTAGAATTTGAGAATTAGCCGGAGGCGGTGGAGATGGAGATGTTCTCTGGCCTGGATGGCTCAGAATGTCTCAAGATTAGGACCAGGAGTTCTCAAATGTTGCTAGACAATGGTCTTTTCAAAAGAGCTTTTGAGAATTCCGGATGCAACACACAGTTCGCCTCGCTCATTGGAATTTTGTATCTTTTAGAGGGATAGTTTTCAAGATTATATTGTAGCAGATCTCGAAGTCATTTTAAAAATTAGCTCTTTTTTTACATCACATTCTCTACTTTCCCACGGACTGTACAGAGGAGCTCACAGTTAGGGTAAATTTGTTATCAGAAGCCTGCTCATAACATTAACAGCCTGGTTATTGTACATTCATAGCAGGCAAGAAGGCTGCAAATAGTTCACAGTGCAGTTCAATCCATTGAAAAAACTACCCTCTCCACATGGTACCATGTGCAGTAACTATTGATAAGAGGCCTGATTTTCCAGCTGGAGCCAGTCTGGGCCCTCAGTCCTGTTCAGAGAGAGGATGTTCTATTGGTGTTAAATTCCATGTCCTGTTACATCAATTGATTTGAAGCAGGCGCAGTTGTACGGCGTGAATGCAGGCTGATTTGGCTTTTCCCCATCGAGTGAGGAGCTATTAAGAGGGCCCAGCGATCTCACAAAAGCGTGGCTGCCTTTGGGGGAGGGCTAGTTGTGTCTTGCCACCGCTGGTGCTGATTCAATGCCTCCCTCTCAGTGTTTGCATTCTGTTTGCGTGTGTGTGGGAATATTCAGTCTAGCCAATATGTGGCAACAGCGGACAGAGCTGAGCGCTCGCTCTCTTTGAGAGCCCCATACGTGATTCTGATTGGCTGTAGCTATGCAGGTCTGTCTTTCACTCTCTTTCTCTCTCTCTCTCCCCGCCCACCCCCCTTTTTTTTTTCTTCCCTCTGTTGCTGTGCGGAGTTCAGTCCTGGCACAGCAGAAGCATCATGGATGAGATGCTAGCAACAGATGCTGGGCTCCGGGATTTGCATTTGTAGGGTTTCTTTAAAACTGGTCTGCAGGAAAAAAGGAGGGAAAACCCCCCAACCCTAAAAGGAAGAACAACCATCATCCATTACAATAAATCAATCATCAACTCAGCAGGCACGTACCTTCGCTGTTGGACTGGTAGCGCTTCTCAGACCCTGGTTCGTGGGGAGCCGCACAAACTTACGCACAGACAGACCTGGCTTTCTTAGCTATGTCAAGCCAGGCAGCCAAGTGCGCAGAGGATGGAGAGAAAAGGAGCCCCTTCTGTGATGGGAGAGAAGAGAACCCGTTGGGATCAAATGCCAAGAGCAGCGAGGGAAGCGACAGATATAGGCAGGAGATTGTCTGGAGGAATGTCGTCCTAATGACGCTGCTCCACATCGGAGCCGTGTACTCCCTCTGCCTCATCCCCAAGGCCCAGCTGCTCACTTTGATCTGGGGTGAGTTCCCTGCTTCGGTGTCCCCATGGCGAAGATGGCTGTGGGCATATTTGTGTCTGGTTTCTGAAGGTGGGAGCCATCCCGGGTTTATGGCTGCTCTGTAAAACTGGAAGGGGAGAGGTTGCCCATTGGAGCCTGATATTTCAAAGTCCTCTTTAGAATCATCCATTCAGCTCCTCCACTGCATGAATTGAACCATCGGGCAAACCGATCGTAAGCCAGCCAGTACTTTTCCCCCCAGCGACAGGATCAGAATTGTTCTGGTGCCGGGCAGGGGGCGGGGCAGGGGCGGAACCAGTCAGATTAGACAATTTAGCCCTCAATCAAAGGCATCAATTGGGTTCTCAAGTACCTTCCCATAGGAGATTGTCTGGTATAGCCTCTGCCCCTGTATCCCGGATCCTGGTAATTTTGACTCATTTTTTGACCCAAAACTCACAGTGTTCTCAGTGAAACAACTGGGGATGGGAGGAAGAGGGAGAGATGAAATCTCACCTAAGGGATCAGACACAGCCGCTTAAAATGCTTCCCCCTCTAAATTCTTGGGACATAACCAAGTCCTGGCTGATGTTACTTTTTCTCCTCACAGGCTCCAGTTTCCCATCTCCCTGCTTGCCCTCATGCTTGTCTCTTCCCCCATCTAATAGCTGCTTGTCTCTTCCCCCATCTAATAGCTGGTAGATGCCAGCTTGTCTTCCCTGCTTGTCTCTTCCCCCATCTAATAGCTGGTAGATGCCATTTGCCTGCTCACATATCCCGACTGGCTGATGTTACTTTTTCTCCTCACAGGCTCCAGTTTCCCATCTCCCTGCTTGCCCTCATGCTTGTCTCTTCCCCCATCTAATAGCTGCTTGTCTCTTCCCCCATCTAATAGCTGGTAGATGCCAGCTTGTCTTCCCTGCTTGTCTCTTCCCCCATCTAATAGCTGGTAGATGCCATTTGCCTGCTCACATATCCCGAGTCACTTA